TTAAAGAAAAGGCACTAGCGCCATCCAGTGTATGAGCGTCTTTTTCCCTTGAGGAGCTCCGCTTCTGAAGCCTATGGAAAAGGCATTGACTGGGGGAAAATTGTACCATAAAACCACATAGCGTTAATCTCACGTAAAAAAAATTATCGCCGTTAAAATGGCCTCGCGTTAACGCGTTAATAACGCGATAATTTTGACAGCACTAATATATATATATATATATATATAATTTTTTTATTTTTTTTTTATTTCTTTTATAGAATAACCTCACTGTAATCTTGGAATTAATCTAGATTAATTTTCAATTCTGCCAAAGACATTCATGATATGTTTGCTACCTAAATAAGTAAAGGTAAATCTTTGAACAGGTTTGTATCATATGAACCTCTAGTCCTAGAAATAAAATAGGTAAATAAATACCACAGAAGCTACATTTTCAAAAAGCTTCCCACTTTAACCACATTCACCCAAGCAATCATCAAGAAGCAAACCTAATGTGGTAATCATTTGTGGTGTCCTGGTTAAATGAAATTTAAAATGACACAACATAACGTACCTAAAGCAAACTTCTGTTATTTCGCTGCTTTCTGCACGGCATGCTGGTCATGTATTCTAATGATAGTTCGTCTCGCAGGTAGTATGTAAGACTGACCTGTAGCCGCTTGGAGAACAATCTTGAGCCCATCATCTTCAACCATGCTGATGGCGGCAACTGGTGGCAATCCACTGAGCAAGTAGATTAGTTAAAGTGACTGATAGAACTGTGCTGAGGAGCTTGCCTCGGTTGCACTCAAACATTGTAGTTTGATGAACACGACTCTTCCCAGAGCTACATGAGCGCTTGGCCCAGCCGGCATCTTCCACATTGGCAAAGGGATGCTTTGCGTTTAGGTGGTATTTGAGACTGGAAGAACTCCTGCAGTAAACTAATTCCGCATTTCACAAGATGGAAACAGCTTTAGTCCCGTCGAGGTTCCCATTGGGAAACTTCCCTGAAGCAAACCTGGCGCCTTTATAGCTGCATCCATGTCAGCATGTCACTTTCAATGTGATAATTTCACAGTGCGCCTACACCGGTTGGAAGACTGATTTGTTCCCGCCCCCAGATAAATATTCCTGCTAAAATATCAACGTGAAAGTCATCATAGCTGACTTAGAATAGACCCAGCTCCCAAGCCAACAGTGGGAATAGATTAAAGGCAATATTTTTATTGCCTGATAAGACTTTGGTGTTTTTTTTCATAGTCCTGCCTGGCAATTTGGCAATAAAAATAATTGTCTTGATGCCAAAAAGAGCCCAACATATTTTGCTCTCACAAGTGGAGCAGTACGGATATCGCCATAGTGTTCCGCTTGATTTATGCATAAAAATAGCTTTATTATAAATCATGCAGGGAGTATTACAGATTATATGGACACTGCAATGTAAGTAGAAAGAGTTTGATATTAACACAGTATGTCAACGCCGATAAAGGCCCACCTCTAATTTATAGTAATTTGTTTATTTGTTGTCTGTCACAATTTTTTTTGGGAAGGAGCAACTCAGGTGAAGAGACATCTTTTAGGATAATCAGTGTTTTAGAGTTTTAAATTTAAAGATAGAAGAAACAGTGTTGATTTTTTATTTTGTTTTCTCTTTATAGTTTCTGTCTAAAGGGGGAGGGTCTGGACGACAGCTGCCCTGCTGTCATCGACTACACCCCTTACCTGAAGTTCACACAGAGGTATATGCACTGAAATGATTCGCATCAGACATACTTAAGACACTACGGTTCAGTTACTAAACCCTACTGCTGGTAATACCTTGGTCATTCCTACTCATTTAGGACTGTTGACCTTAGACATGTTTTAATGTGGTTGAATCACCATTCAGCTGAAACAACAAAAATAACATTGCTTCAACTTTTTACAGAGACCATTAGATTGTAATTCCAATTCCCCCGTTAGTTCAAAAAGATCATTAAGCAATGCACTATAACAACGTTCTAAGGCATTCAGAGAAACAGGCCCATATTACTAGAAACATTTCACCAAAATTTTCATCCAATATTTTCCACAAAGGCATCCTTGTTTGCATCCAGTTAAAATTTCAGGAACATTTATTAAACGTTACATTTCTGATAAATGGAAAGGGGGGGGATCTTTTTGCTGACATGCCTCCTAAACTGTCTTGGATGTGACTCCATCACCGGATGGCAATCTTTGCTGCTCTGAA